AGGTTCCACTTAAACTTGAGAAGAAACTTCTTCTCAGTGAGGGTGACGGAACACTGGAACAGGCTGCCCAGGGAGGTTGTGGAGTCTCCTTCCCTGGAGACATTCAAAACCCGCCTGGACGCATTCCTGTGTAACATTATCTAGGTGTTCCTGCTCCGGCAGGGGGATTGGACTAGATGATCTTTCGAGGTCCCTTCCAATCTCTAACATACTGTGATACTGTGATAATACACAACAATGTCAGTATACACATTTCTTTTGTATAAAATCTGGTGGTGTGTTTCAAAATTTTAATGCCTTGAAAAGATGGGGAAAAATTTTCAGTGTTAAGCTTCCATTTTCTTGTTACTTTGTATTAGATATGCCTCTGATTGGCAGCTTGATTCGTATCTTACAATACATGGAGGGCTGCGGGAAGAGAGCTGGTGATAACTCAAAGGAGTCTGAACAGGAAGAGACTGGAAGAGCTGATGTAAATGACAAAGATTTCCATTTAAAAATTTTGAAGGACATTTGCTGTGAATTACTTTCCAATATGCTTCAAGAATTGACCAAGGTAAGGATAAATCAAATTCTGAGAGGGATTTCTGGAGGGTAGGTAAGAAAAGAGACACTACTATCAATGTGAGTATTTTTCCGTGCAAGTGAAGTTGCATACTGAAAATTCATTAGGAGATTAATCAGAAGGTGGGTAGCACAATATGTATTAGATGGCAGGGACACACAGGCTTTCCGAGATGTGTGCCTTTAGGGTCAAGACTGTGTGATAAATTCTGTAGGTGTATGTTGCCCTTTTGTTTGAATGAAAGTCAATTTATTTAAGAAAATGTAAGAATCTGAATATGAAGAAGAATATGTAAATTTGTGTTCTCCACTAGACTTTTTTATTATGGGAGCATTCAGATTAAGAGTCATACGATCTGTGCGCTTTCAGACCTTTTGTATTTGCTATGGCTGATATTCTCCAGGAACTCTTAAGTTCTGGTGGTTTTACCCATTTTTGAGAACAAAGCACATACTGTAGATACTGTGTGCACCATTTTGAGTTTATTCTTTCACAGCTGTTCATGACATGCTAGTTTTAATTCTTTTTTTATTTTCCAGGAGAATACATTAGAAGGACTACACCAGGGACATTTAAATGAGCAGACATGTTCCTGTGCATTTCAGAACCTCTTACCTCTGTACTTTGCATCAGTGAGTGTGTGACAAGGACTTTCAACATAAGTGAAAAAATACTGCTTGGGTGGCAAGATCTTTCAGAGCAGATGTAGGAGTAGGACAGAATTGCTTGGACACAGCTAATATGCCATTCTAGACAGTCTTACCATCAGCCAGAACTTTGTCTAGATCATCAGCTGATGTAAGGGTAGACTGTGCTGAAATGAATGGATAACTGAAATTTATGCTAGCTGAAAATTTGTCCTGTATATCTTTATAGAATAATTAAGTATTTTTTATAGGGAGGTTTTCTTTGTGTACTTCTAAACAATAGAAGAAGAGTTTGGGGAAGGCAGTAATATTTCAAAGTTTAGACCAACTGAAATTGTGGGGTTTAGAAGGCAGGCATGTGGAACATTATCCACTGTTATTTGCAGTGGCTGCTGCTGGCTGCTGTTGGTGGGAAGGTACAGAAATAGAAAGACCCCCTATACCAAGTGTAATAATATTGTGTCCTATACAAGTTAATTTTTTGTCTTCCCTTTCTCCTTCCCTTTTTGTGTTTGCAATTTATTTCCAGGTGGAGAGTTTCCTTGGAGTTCTGCGTGAGGCTGATCAGACACTTGCTGATAATCTAGAAAAACGTTTCCCAAGCCTGAAGGTTCACTCCTAAGAATGTACATGAAATGTTTTCCTTCTTTGAAGATTTTAACTGTTTTATTAAAGTGTTTTAGAAATCAAGTTTTCAGTAAATGCAGAAGAATGAGGCAACCTCCTTTGCAACAGGTGGCTTTTAAGAAGTCTTCCAGGTAGCCCTGATTAACCTAGGGTTGATCTGTCCTTTATGGGGAAGGAAACAACTGTAAATTCAATTCTGTATCTTCATCCTGTTTGCTCTGGTGGTGAGAGACTGTTGATTTCTGATTGCTCTTCTGTAGCATAGGTTTGTTTTGTTGTGTTTTTTTTTTTTAATAACTCTTGATTCTATGCTTTTCAACTTAAGTTGAAACAGCAACCTGAATGAACTCAACCGAGTAGTTATTTATAATGTGATGCTGGTTTCTTCTAAGTTGCTGTTGGCAAAAGGGTTGGTAGGAAATCCTGGATGTCCTCTGCTTAAGGCTCTTCAAGCACCTGATAAAAACAGAGTTAAATTACACAATTATTTGCATTTTCCTATTTTTTTTTTAATTTTTCTTTAGTCTTACAGATCATATCAGCACCTTGAGCAGGTTCATCACGGTCCTTTAAAATCTTCATACTTCTTACACTAAAACCTCTTCTATACTGCAGCTCTGGGTTGTGGCATTTAGGTCCTGTGCAGTTTAAAGGACTTGAGAATATGGTTACCAATGGTCTATGCTGCAGCTTCCAACCATTGCAGCCAGTTACCTAGAGTTAGACTTGTAGGTCAGGTTTGGTTTTAACCTGTGGCATACTTGCAAGCTTCCTGCTTTTTTAAAGCAGTCTGCACTTCAATTTCAGGGGAGATAAAGGTGTTAGGTCCCTTGTAGTAAAGCCTGTCTATATTCTTCTAAAAGTCTCACTTTTAATTATATTCTGTTTAACTGGGTTGCGTTTTTAGATCACATGCCTGCATGCAGTGCAACTAACATTTTCTGTGTCTGAAAAGACAGTACAGTAACACATCAGCTTCACTGATTCTGTAAATGAGAATGGGAAACAGTTGGTCTTTATAAGGCTTGAGATGTAAAAGAAAATGGGAACCAGAGCATAGAGAATAACTTATTACCATATACGTATTCTCTGGCTCTCCAGGTTTTTATAGAATTCAGGTGCTGGGCCATGTTTTGTTTGCCCTGAGTTACCTGTACATATGGTAGAATACAGTATGTGTATATGTATATAGCCTTTTCATCCAAACTTCCAGTTTTCAAAAATTGCTATTTAATCATTCCGTTGGGCTGCCAGCAGCATCTTAGTTGTCAGCAGGGGATTTAGAATTACAAATATTTGGCTTGTGTCACCAAATGGAATTGCCATGGTTTCTATCCATTTTTGTATGTTATGTTTATTGAAGAAAACTGGTAACTGTGAATAGGATGACAGCATTTTTCATACTACTTTGACAGTTTTGGGATATTTTCTTAAAACCTACAAATTTGTAATAAAGTTTCTTTTTAAAAAACACCTGTACACTTTCCTTCATTTTAAGTGTCAGTTAGATTTGTTTTTGAGCCACTGGAAATGTCTGTTACTCTCAAGTATGTCATTTGTAAGAGGAAAACTGAACCTCTTCATAATGTTACCGTCCTGTAAAATATGTTATCCTCCATTGGATATTCATTTTAACTGTCCCTTGCTTGCTTTCTTAGTAATTTCTAAGGTGTGGAACTTAATGTGTCTTTCATCCACTTGGTAACATTTTTCTCAGCTCAGTTTGTCCCCCGGTGTATCAAAACTAACTTTATGATAGTCCACCATAGTTAAGAATTATTTCTGGTTTGTGTCTTTTGAAATTTGATGTAGTTGAAATTTTTCAGTAGTTGTTTAATACACAAAAAAGCTGAGTCAAAATCTGTTATCTTGTTCTTTCTTTCTTTCAATACACAAATATACGGTATTGGCTGATTAACTGTTAAATGTGGTATCACTAATTACATCAAGTAGGTGAGATACATGATTTCTCTGATAAAATTATTGCCTGAGTGGGATGATACCTAGTGCTTGTCATGCAGTAGAAAAAATGACCAATGTTAGTGGGAAACCAGCTGAGTCCCATCTTTGTGCTCTTCTGTGACAGAAGAAGCTATAGAAACAGGTCAGTCAGCCTTGCTTCAGCAGGATGGTAATTCAGGTATGCTGGGAATTTTTATCTTTGATAAACATGGTGAAATGGAAACTAAATTCCCCCTTTTCCCACCAGATAGCTGTTCTTTTGTGGTCTGTGCTGCATGGGTGGGCCACCACTGCCTTTAGGAAGAAAGGGCTGATGCCAAACTGAATGCAAGGTAAGGCGCAGTGGTTTTGGCAGTCAGGCTTGGAAGAAACAGCGTTAACAGGTGAACGGTGTGTTTGGAAATGCTGTGCATGTATTTCATCATCTTGCCAGCAGGGACCTCCCTTAGCCTGTGCTTCATGAACATCACATGTCTGGTTTTTTAGGGGGTGAGGGGTGTGTGTAGGGGGTATGTTTGTTTTTTTGCCATTTGGGGTTTCTTTGTTCCTTCTCCTAGCTGTGCTTTGACACCAGCTAGCAAGCCACATTTCTCTGAGCTAGTTGATTGAGAATGGATGTCTGTCCACAAGCAGGTGAGCAGCTTTCTTCCAAACCCAAGATCTGATTACCTCCATAACATTGTCCTTTGGGGGAAAATGAGACGTGCTTGTCACTGCAAAGCTCTGAACAAAAAGTAGGTATTACAAGTATTGAACTAAATTAACTGAAACTCAGTCCTGCTTGGATAGAACTGGATGTCAACTGTGACATGAGAACACCTAGAAAATAGAGGTAGAAATCAGACTGGAAGGCCTTATTTTAAATTAGGCTTAGTAGATCCACATAATAATTTCAATCAAATATAGGATTCTAACATTTTTTTTTGACTCACATTTTACGTATATTTGGCAACTTTATCCTACATAGTAACTTTTTTCTGGAGGGGCAAAGCTCCGTAAAAACAAATAAATTTAGTATTTGGAGAAAAACCCAATTATATTAGAATGCTTGATTTGTTCTCTTGATGGTGTGAGGTTGCTGCTGCTGTTGATAACCTAATGCTTGCCCAATATTCATGTCACAAACCTGTCCTTTCTGGTAGACTGAACCATATTCAGATCAGTCTTCCTTTTTGCCATTACTTTTTTAGTTCATATTCTTATAACTGCTATGGTGGTTAATTTTTCTGTAAGATTATGTGTTAAGATTGACCTCTTGTAACTCCCTTTTGCTGTAATTAAGCTAGCTGAAAAAAAAACCCAAACCCAGAAAAAAATCTTTATTTGTAAGTCAACCATCTTCCTAGTTGATTACACTGGTATGAAAAGGGATGGATGTTACTGTAGTTTTTGTTTGTTTGCTTTGAAAATCCATGCTCTTTCCCACTATTTTGGCTGTTACTGACAGTTACAAAAGCAGCAGTTACCTTTTATGCCCAGGAATTTGCTTTTGTTTTTAGAGGAGAATCTCTTGGTCACAGCAGTTCCTTAGCATATCCTTTATTTTCCCCTCAAAATGAAATTTTGGACATTTTTATCTTTTTTTTGATGCTTGTTTATTATTTTGTTCTAGATGATGATGAAATTCATACGCTCTGCCAAACTCAATGAGAAAGGAAGAACCAGGACACCTGGGGCAAGGACCAGTCTGCTGTAATATTATTCAGTTTCTCAAAACTCCTTCATGTGAAGGCAAACAAACAGTGAGCAGCTGTGTGTTTGCTCCCCAGTTACAACCCCCTGCATCAGCCATGCGGTTAGTGTGCTCCTCAGTCGGAGCTGACAAGGCATGTGCTAAGTGAACCTGACATCACAAGGTTTGTAAAATAAACCAGGTTATTTCTAATAGCTATCAACAGAGGTTTTGCAATGGGAAATATGCCTCCTATTTCTCCTTTTATTTGTCTCCCTGATTCAATTATTTAGCTCTTAAAAAGGTTTTATAATGCAAGCAGCTGACACATCTGAGATTGTTAATAGAAAAGGTTTGTTTCTGAGTTGCTGTGTTGTGTTGAAGAAAATGAGCAAACCTAGGAAAAAGTCACTGGGGTTCTGTTTGCTTGCTTTCTTCCAGTTCAGGTCTTTGGAAGTTACATGCACATGTTCATTATTTGTCAGAAAATTGAGATTAATTTTAGACAAAGACTAATGCAAAAAAGAATGCTTGAAAAGATAACAGTGGTAGGTTGCTGTGAAGAGAAGTAAGACTAGTACTAGAGAAAGAAAAGAGATGAAGAAGGGATGCTGGAGAAAGAAAGAAAACAGGAAGAAAACCACAAGAATAGTGATAAAGGGGATAAATAGCAAGTGTGATGTTGAAGAAGAAAAGAATTGTCAGTAACGTTAGCATTGTAGGTCTGTCCAGGTGGAATAGTTAGTGTGCAGTCGCCTATCAAAAAAGTACAATATTGATTACTTTTTCTGTTTTCAAAACTGAATCTCCTTTGTAGTTTTTCCTGCTCTCATGGAAATGAGGGCAAATTTAAGGTGAAGGTGGGGTCTTAAAAACCACAGCATGTGGGCAATCTAATATTCCTTTATTACATTATTATTGTTTTAATTTATACTCCCCCATTCCCCTCCTCTGGCTGGCTAGCGGAGGCATCAGGGAGCTGTTTCACAAGGTAGGTAAGGCAGTTTCAGGTGTTGCATGCCCTTGCCCTGCACAGGTCTTGAATCTGCCAGAGGTGAGATGTGAAAGCAGAGTCCTGCAGAGTTGATGCTTATGTTGCACGTTGATCTGAAACGAGCACAGCAGACTGCAGCGTGCTCCTGGATTTGATAACTAGTTAGGTATTGAGGGAAGGGACCTACTTGATACCTGCCTGTTTTTACTCAAGGAGAACAAAACCCTGCTCAGTCTGTAATAGCAGTCAGAAAAAGTATGAATCTACAATCTTGCATTTGACTTCAGAATTTTTATATGAAAACGTATTTATGCAAAATTAAAATTTCTGTGTGATTAGTATATTCTGCTACTACTGGGAGTAATATCCAACCCTTGATATAACATGCTCATACATCCATGGTAGTTTATTCATATATGTGGAGTAGGCATAGTGACCAGCTGCATGTTTGTCCCTGGAATAACTGAAGTCCCATGTTTTTGACACTTCCCCCAATTTATGTCCCTTCATCCAATTTCCAAGGAAACCTTAAAAAAGTAAACGCACCTTGATACTCTGTGTTGCAGTGGTGGCAGTTAGTTATTCTGTGCTTTGGGTTATGCAATCTCCATTTTAATTTTGCAATGAGCTTATATCAATATTATTTTTGTTGTCGTGTTCATCATTTTTGGTGACAGCTCTGTTTAAAGAAGTTGTAACTTTAACAAGCCATCTGTTAACCTTACTCTGATGAAATAAAACATTTCCTGGTCTCTCGTTGTAGACCAGTCATCCTATCTCCTGTCAATAAGAGGATATTGAAACACACAGGAAAATCCGTGCACACTTTTATCTTACCCTGCAATATAGCCACAGTGTCGTACTTTAGTGCAGCAACTTGTAATTAGCTGGTGATGTTAGGAGGTTTTATTTTCCATTAAAATTTTTCTGTAGTGCATGATCTCTTGTATTTAACATGAGAGTTTCCTCAAATCAAGTAGGAAGGCTGGGCACAGGAACCATGGGAGGACATTTCAAGTTTGTCACCCTGATTAGTGAAGATCTTAATTTCATGAGTTAAGAGAGTAGAAAGGAAGGAGAAACACTTCATCTTAGGTGAGAACAAACAAACCTGCAAAATAACTCAAATTTTGTCACTTGGTATGAGGCCACTAGAATGGCTGAATGGAAGGAGGAGAAATAGTGAATAGAAAAGGCTGGAGTAATGGGAAAAGGAAAAATGAATACTGAAAATGTGGAGAAGCAAGAAAGGACTCCAGCTTTTTGAGCTCTTTAGGTAGAAGATGTTTTTGAGGTGATGAAGACACACGTGATATTGCCTATGAGCTGGCAAATCACAGTAAGTCCAAGGAAAGTCTTTGATGGACCTGAAAGTATTGGCACTGTGCAGTGGGCAAAATGAGAAAATCCCAAGCCCAAATGGAGGCAAGATTTGTGCTTTTTCTCCTCTTGGAGAGGTTTGGCAACTCTTATAAGAAATTGGGAGATAGATGCAGAAGACACTGTAATGGAGTTGCTCTGGAGTTGGAGTTGCCCAGGCTGATTCTTGCATGGTGTGTGTGTTTACGGATACAAGGGACAAACCCAGCAGGAGCAGCGAGGTGTATAGCCAAGAGACAAACTTCTTGCAGTGTTCCTGCTTCTTCAACCTTTCTGGATGCCAGAGCAGGTGGGCAAGGACAGTATCCAGCACTGTGTTGTGGCAGCATCTGTGTATGTCTTGGAGCCCATCCTGCTCACTTCACTCTTGACCAGTGCTCTCAACTATCAATTTAAGGATCCGAATCAGATCTTTTATTACAATGTTGGCACTAATTTTTACCAACAGGTCTGGAGCAAACCCTCAAGGTGGAAAATGCTGAAAAGATGTTGAAAATAATCACAGTGCTACTCCACAGATGTCTTCTTTTGTATTACAAGAGCTCTGCATATGGCAGTACCCTCTGTGTGGTACTTAATTTGGTCAACACTATAAAGGTCCAGGGTGCTGGTTTGGAAGAATCTGCTAGATGCAGCATAGCACAATGTGGTTGCCTTTATAGGAAAAGGAACTGCTGTCTTGATTTAATTAACCAGTCATTCTGCTGATTCCGGAGTTTACTTAGACATGAAAGAAATAAACTTAATTAAATTAAACAAAGCTTTTTCCTTCCCACACATGCTCTAGGTCCTTTGACTTCTTCTGAGAGACAACAAAAAGCTTATGAATAACAGGTGCAGTCTTTTTGTTGTTGTTGGCCTGTTGCAGAAGGCTATCAGGAGAAAGATTATGCACAGGTGCAGTATGTGCATGGCATCAGAGGAAGAGGATATATACGGGTTTGAAATCTGTTTGTTTGTTTTTTAATTTAAGTTCCTGTGTTAGGTTGGCAGAAGAATAAAAACCATCAAGGCTTCAGTGTTGCCTGTTGCAGGTCAAGTTAATTTGACAAAAAGTGGTAATGCTTGAGTTGAAACCTAATCAAAACAAAGGAAAGATGTAGAATAGGTTTGGATTCAGTTCTCAGCTTATCCAGAGGTGTTTTGAATTTAACTACTTTAAGCTGTGTAATTGCTTGGTTCCTTGTGATGTGATTTAGCAACAGATCTGGATTGTTTTCCAACAGCCAGAAGTGGCTATTTGTTCAGTTGTAGTGCTCGCTGTCTGTGTTTTTGAGAGTGTCGTCACAAATCTGAAGTGGTTTCTTTGTCCAGCCATAGATGGAGAGCATTGTGTAAAAGCACATCCTTGTTGCAGTGTGGGCTTTCTGCCTCCTCTCAAATGGAGCTGTTCCTGACAGCAACTTAGGCCTGCCCTCTTCTAACACTGTTTCTTCATTTCTAGTCTTGTTTATGTGCTAGAGAGGTTTGTGGAGGAAGATGCAATCACAGGAAAGACAATTCCCTTATGTTCTTCTACATACACTTAACGTCATGTGTTCGTCATTTCCAAATGACACAGCATGTGTCTGCGCTATCATTTATATAATTTATAGTGTGCTAGACCAAATTTACCAGTAAATCTCTGATAACTACTTCTACTGTGTGATTTTTTTTCAGATGAATTTCTACCTGCCTATCAGGAAATTCATTCTGGACTGTATTTGCTTAATTGTTTGTATTAATAGCGGAAGAGAAAGTGGGTGATCAAAAAGATCAATAAAAGCAAGAAATATAAAATCTGTTCATTCCCCTTTGTCCTCTGGAGCAGTTCTCCCATTAGTTGAAAACAAAGTTGATGAAACACAATTTGTTCTTGCCTAAAAACTGATTTAAAAATAAGCAAATATTTTGTCCACTTAGTTTGCCAGGTATTAGAATTAGTTTGACTGATGCAGAATGAACTTTTTTTCCATCTTTCTAAAAATTAGTACTCTCTTTTCCCATTCCTAGCTCTTTTCCATTTAATTCCTAAAAGCACTGTGAACAGACGGGGGGGTGTAGTATTAATTCACTAAATATACTGTTGTGAATTATACGCAGCTCTGCATGCACAAACACATCTTTGTTAAATCTTCATTAACCTGTTCTGGTCTACTCTTGCATCCTCTTGTCACTACTCAGTTATATGTCTGCTCACAGTTTACCACCCTGACTTTTTATCCATTATCCTGGTTACTGTTCAGCTGACGCTTTTAGCATTGAATATTCTTATAATGCTGTATTTCTCTGAAACAAAAGTTTGCACCAGGCATTACTAAAAGCAAAGCCCTCTAATCAGGCAGATGAAACTCATTAGTGTTACATTTCAAGGAGCCTTTCTTTGATGCGAGGTAATTAATTTTGCCCCATCGCAAAATTGCCCTAACTTTAATGGGAGCTAGAATCTAATAAGATGAAAGAAACTCAGAGGGGAAAAAAACGTCTGTCATGAGAACACAGCGAGATGAACAGCTTTTGCCAGTCTTGGAAATGATGATACGTTTTACAGCTCCAAGGCTGAACATTCTGCAGTTGCTGATGTGTTTAAAGTCCCTGCTGTGAATTGATGGGTTTACACTGCTTGCTGGTTTTCATCCTTACAGCAGAAAGTAACTGTGATTTAATTTACTTTGTTCATGCTGGCCAGTGTTAGTGCCTAGACCAGAATCTGCCCTCAGTAGTCTGTTTTGCTGTGTGAACACCAGGATTTCAGTGGATAGGGGAGTGTCTAAAGTTTGCAGGCTGAGAATGGTCCTGCAAACTCTTTTCTCTTTGAAACACTAACGGAACATAACAGATCAGCTAGGAATGAAAAATCTGGCTGTATCCTTTATTTCAGAAAAGCTGACGTTTACAGCAAGGAGGTGAAATGGATACAAAAAACCTGCTGTAAACAGGCAGACCAAATATATTCTGTGATTGTTTGGACCTTAGTCAGTTCTTGATTTCCCTTGGCCTTGCTATTTTTAAGGTGTGTGAAGTATACTGAAGGCAGTCTTTCTGCTTCTTACATTCACCAAATCTAATGCTGGATAAATTCTAAATGAGTATGGTAGAGCCTGGTTACTGGTGAATGAATGCTCACGGTAAGGCTGTGTTGTCAGAAGTGCCTGAAGAGCTCTTGTTCTCTTTTCTAAGTGGATCAAAGTCTGCTGAATCGCTTTTTTGAGCTGTGCTTACCCATATCATTAGCAAGTACAAAGCTTTCTCCTTTGTTAGCTTGTTCCACCTCACTTTGAATACAAAATATGCTACTGTTACATTAATTAGGCCAACAGGCTGAGGTTAACAAACAGTCATGTCTCTTATCAGCAGGCTTCTTTGTGCATTTGACTGTTTTGCTTTGTGTTTGCTTGTGATGTGAAAGAACTGGATAATTATTGAAGTTTTTAGATAGACATGATAATGTAGTAAGAATAGAGCTAGCAGGGTGCTTCCTCAATGAATGGAGTCCACTCCTACAACACTTTCTGCTGGTTGGATCTGGTGTAAGGATCTGGTCGAAAGTAATCCCTGACTTTGGATCCTGTATTGCTCTCAATGCTAAGAGTGGGTGTTTTCAGTGCTGGTGGCTGAGGTTGCCCATAGCTCTCAGACACTTCTTTTTTGGATGCTTTGTCTTTCATATTCAGGTTAAGCATTTTGCAACCTGTACTCTGAGCTCTCTGCAGCTCACCGCAATAGCAGTTTTGATGCCAGAGCCCTCAGCACTAAGCAGCTTCTCAGCCTCTGTCCCCTTGCCGAGGCTTTGGGGCTGATGGCCAGGATTGGTGTGCTGCAGCTATGTAACCTCAGCTCAGTCTGCTGTGTGAGCAGCTGGGAGCCTCCCCTTCACCTTGCCTGGGCTATGCAACGCATCAGCTGTGCCTGGGCAGTTTCCCTGCTGATACCAGCTTGCCAAATTGACTTCCCAGCTTGACCTCAGACCTGCTTGCCACTATGGACTTGTCTGGAGATGTGTTGGCTGGGCCTGCCCTGCTCTCTTTGCTTGGGCACTGTGGCACTGCCCACCTGCCTGGCTGTCACCTTCCCACCAGCAACTGTTAGCAGGGCTGCAAAATCCTGCAGGAGGGGACATGGATGTGTGACTCTTCAGCTTTACCATCGGGGTAGTTGTTTAACCATCCTGCCAGGAGGGCAGGATTGGTGAGCCTGGACCCAGTAGTGTAAGACTCAGGTTGCACCGATGGAAATGCAGTATTTCCTTGTCCTTTCTAAGCTGTGCTGTATTTCCAGGCAGCATGTAGATCAGTTTGTCAAGCTTTCAGCTTGGCTTTCCCCACCCTTGGTTGATGATTGTTGCTGGACTAAATCCTTTTTGCTGCAGTAGCACAGGCAATTTTTGCCAACTGCTGCAGGACCGGGGCTCTGTTGCTTCCTGCAGGTTTAACTGGAGGTGGCTTGGCCAATACTGAGCAGATAAGAAAAAAAAATGTTGTAATTGGCATTTCTGTACCAGTAAGTCCAGAGAAGTTGGAGCAAAGAGCTCTTGCAGGACCTTGGTTCCCAGGCAGGCAACAGTTTTGCTTGAAATGCAGGTGATACTATATTTGTGTTACCATAATCAGTGGTGAAAACAAATCAGAGCATGGTTTCTCCCTTGCCCAGCAGCTTCTTGGCTAACCTTTTGTAAAAAACTTGCAAAGGTTGTTAGGAAAAACTACACCTTGCTTGCTCAGAGCAGCAGGTAACTCATGTCACTCATGATTTTACGTAGCTTTTATGAAAGAAAAATGTTACCTCCCTCAGATGAAAGGGATAATATTATTTCTTTAAACAGTCCAAAGCAAATATACAAACAGGGAATGGTCTGTTGGCTAAATGTGCTTCAGTAGATTTACACAGCATCTCTGGCTTTTCAAAGTAAGCGTGCTTAAAAGCTATTGATATTACAGCTGCCTGAGTCACTCTGAGTGGGTAATTTGCCTGATTGGTTCTTGCATTCTTAATTGGAAAAATATATTTGTGGTTTCAATAATTGCATCATTTAAATTCCCCTTTTTGTTGCTTATTAACTGCTTATAAACCATATGCTTTATAACTTAACAACTCCTCAGTAACACAGAGAGTTAACAGATTGCTAAACCACCCTCACCTGGATGAGGTCCCCTTCCCAGTAGCTGACTTATTGCACTGAGAGTTCCAGATGTTTCTTGATGGTTGCCCTGAGAACACTGCATGACACTGTGGTAGCCTCACTCTGTTGAAAGGTTGGGTGTATTGCCCTGGGAAGTGTTTGTTGGAAGAACGGTGCATAACAGAAGGGAGCAAATAGAATGATTCCCTTGTTGAAAGCTGGTGACTTCAGATTCGTACTTTTTTAGAAAATTGGAAAAGTTTTTGAATTTTAAGCCATTTAACTCCCAGCATTTAGGTAAATGACCTACACCACAGGGATAGGTTATCTCCTTTAAGTGAGAAAAGCCAAAGTTTTGGGAGAACGAAGATGAGAAAGTGAATGGGAACGAGTGCTGTTGCTGAGGTGTTATGCTCAATGCTTTCTAAATATTAAAAATCAGTAGAAGAAAATGAGTCTGATTTTCAAAGCAGCAGATTTTCAGGCATCTGTGTGTGAGGGCAGCCATAAAATACAAGCAGAATGTGAGGAAGATCTGTAGAACTTATACTGGAAACAAACCGTTTTAGGGGGCTGCATGTTGTTCTTCACTCTTCCCTGCAGCTTCCATAGTGCTTGCCTAAGTGCCATGAGATTCTTAAAGGCAGAACTCATCTGCTGCAGTTAATTAACAGAAAGGCAGAAGGCTATGATTAGAATTTGCAGTAGTCTAGTCTGGAGAAGGTAATTTGAGTAGAGCAGACTTAGTACTAAGTAGTATTAAACCTGTTTTGTTGAGGGATTTAACACTCCATATCTTTTTCTGGAAAAGCTTAAGTGGCCACATTGCCCCAAGCAAATGCTCCTGGTCAGAAAGGCAGATGGCTGGGCCAAATAAAGTCCAAAGTATGGCCAAGAGGTTTATATCCCAGAAGTTATGATGTGAAATTACCTCACTGGAGATGAGAGCACTTTCTCCTACCAGAGAGAAGGGGTAATTCTCACTGATGACCTTGGTGGGATTGGGAAGCCTTTAGGACTGGCTGATTCTCTCCTTCAGCCTTGCTGTGTTCGGGTAGATAATCTTATCTTTCAGCAGAAGATTAATACCCCGGGGGATCATTCCTGACCTGCCTTTCCATGGTTCTTGCCTCATCAGTTGTTGCCAGTTGAACAAAGTCACCCTCTGTCTTCTCTCTCAGTGCTGGAGCACTCGGGAGTCCCTGTACTACACTGGTTTTACTTTTTGCTGTCTTTCTCCACTCCCCCCCTTCCCAGACCAGCTTCCTGAAAGTGTTAGTGGATACAAGACTTGTGCTGTGTCTGGAAAGATAGGTCAGGTTAGTTGAGTCCCTGCCTATTTTACCGATGACCCATAGAAGGCAAACTTCTTCAGAGTGGAAGTAGCAAAGGTTTATGTTTCACAGACAGTGAAAAATGAGTCCCGTTACTGTGTGGCCCTCTAGGGAGGGGAAGATCTGGAGATGTGACACTTTGGTTTTAACACTTTTTAGCCTAAAAGTTTCCAGAGCATTTATCTACAAGTGTGTACCCATAAGCGTCAGCACCACTGTGAGGCTGCAAACTCTGCTGTCAAGTTCCTTCCTTGAAGAATGAAACAGAACCCCCCCAAAAAACCTAGAGGAGTCATTTCTGAGTTAGCACCTGGGAGGCAGGAATAAAGTTGTGGCTTCTTTTGGAGCTGCTTGACATTCCTGGAGCTACTCTGGCAAAGGGCCCAGAAAACATGGGACAGCACTCTCTCGCTCGGATCCTGAGGCTGCTGAAAAGAGGAGGACTCATTTAACAAGGAATTATGAAGTAATGTGACTGAAAGCCAGCTCTTGTAGCCTTCATGGTGAGTGCTATCACAGTTGCCCTGTGCCAGTGCAACAGGTTCTGTGGCAGCTGCATATGGCAAAGTGCTGTCTTGCAAAACGTGATCAGCTTGACCCACTTTTGAGCAGGGTCAGACCTGTACTCGATCCTCAGGTGCTGATTATCTGTCTGGAGGGCTTTGTCTGTATGAGAGGCTGTATGTGAGAAATCTGTGGGCTTAAAAATCCCCACTGTATTGCCTTATCTCATGAGATAGAGAGGCTATCTTTCTCTGTGGTGTTGTTAGGTCCCAGGTTGTCTCTTTGTCCTTCAGAGCACCTTCCATCTCAGGGTCTGTGTAGACTTCTGATGTCCCCCAGAAAACTCTGGCATCTTTGCCTCAGTGCTTCTGCAAACCAAGTCTGTGACAGTTCTGAGTCAGTCTTTGCTTGTGCTGCCTCCTTCCAGGTTGAGCGGAGTAGCACCTGTGCACATTGCTGTCCTGGTTGCATTGCACTCCGTGCCTGACTGCTAGTAGTTCTGCTGTGCCATATTGCGCTTTTGTGTGTGAGAGGCCCAAGTTGCTGTTCTTAGATGGTAGGATTAGACTGCCAGCTTTTGGGAGATGGCAGAAGTATCCTGCTGTGAAAACCCTAAGCGGCAGTTGTGCTCATGACAGAGTGATGGTTTTCTGAAACCCCGCAAACCTAAATCTCTGATCTGGATGAAAATGAAACAGTTCTATAAAGCCATCTGCAGATTCACAGGAGATAGAGACCAGCAGAGCAGGCTTCAGCAAGCACCCAGTGGAAACTGTAATTGAGTCAGTTCATGCATTGTGGTTCTGCTCTTTTAGACTACAGGGCAGTGGCTATGGTGAACAAGCACTTCTTACTAATCCAGAGAATCTGCTCCCCCAAATTCTGGGCACCCTGGTTATCTGTTTATGTAACTAATTAATTTTATACTAGGTTAAATTTCCTTGGCTGTTCCTGTACTGCTCACATTGTATCAGCAGTTACAGGCCAAGCTGACCACAGGCTCTGCAGTGTCAGGTATGAGGGGAGGGATGACCAGTGTTCCAGAAAGCTCCTGCTTAAATTTGATGTGACAGGGCAAGGAAGGGAGGCAGGGACACTCCTGTCTGTTTATCAAACTGGGGCCTCAGAGGTAGGAAGTGCCCTTAAATCTAGCATAGCTGGCCGCGCAGTTTATATCCCCTTCATGACTCTTGTGTGCCATGAAGCTCATGTGCTTCTGCTAAGTTTAGCCTCACTGCTTTGTGTCTCGGTGTGGCCTCTCAAACTGTCCTGTGCCCTTCCCTGTGCTTTGTGTTTTCAGGTAGCTGCAGATGCTAACAGAGCCACTGCTTCTGTTGTCTCCCGGGAAGAGGCATCAGAATGGGTTGTCAGAAGCACCTGGGTGACTGACTCTTCTTTGAGCATTTTTACACCTTTGGGTTGTAGGGGAGGACATCCATATCCTTAACACTAGAATAACCCGTACCTATACACCAAGAATAAACTGGCTTTCCTAATGTATCTTGTGAAAGGTTATAGCCTTTGAAAGCGAGGAAGGAGCAGATTTGAGTAAAAGTAAAAAAACAGAATAATCCTTCATTCGCAGTGCAAGGGACCTCAACTGATGAACGCAACTGGTGCCTGAGGAAATGTCAGTCAGAATTATATCTTGTATTTTCTTTCAAATTTTATCAAGGATGAGCACAACATTTTGACAGAAAAGAAAAGCACAGGAATTTCAACCTGGCTGCTATCAGGATGTGCTGATCAGGAAGTACTGGAAAATCAGCCTGAGTCCAGATTTCTGAAAAAAAGATGCTTACCTGCAGTAGAAGAGCTTCTAGAGGGCTACCTTAGTCAGTAATTAAAAGAGGATTAAAACCAGAATGACATATAAGTTATTGGTGCATTTGAGCTAGGAAACCTGACAGATTTAGTCATATTGCATCACAGATATTTTACTCTGTTCATGTTTACAGATTCATTATTAATATCAGGCTCTCGTATGCTTAAGATTCTGGGTAAAAGCCCTATGAATTGTTTGCTTTTTGAGTCAGTTTGTTTGATGGGGAGATCTGTTCTGCAAGAAGGAAGTGCAATGCCTGTTGTCAAGCTAAGACATATAGTGAATAAATACTGCATTTTCCTTATGAAGGGAAAACTGAAGTATCTGTTCATGAAATATATCCCATTAGCAAACTGGAACAAACTGGCTTTTCCAGCTATGTCATCGCTTACAGCCATGCTCTTTCAATCCTGTGCTGTGACTGAAGGGCAGAGCTAGCTAATCACCCTCAGTCCTCTTAGAAACAGGATTGTTTGAAGTTCCATCTCATCTAGGAAGATGGAAGACACTGACATCATTGGAGATGTCAGTCAGTACAAGTGTGACTGTGTTTGCCTCAGTTAGATGTTAGCCTGGATATTGGCCAAATCAGTGTAATTTATCATTTGGGAATAAGAGATCTAGCTGTATTCAAGGTTTCAAGATTTTAGGCACTGAAGAGAGAAATACTGCAGATTTTTCAGACACTTGAGTAAATTAGGTTAAAACTAGTCATTGCCGCCTTTGAGCATTTCTTTGAAAGATAGGTTTGTAAGGAACGTAAAGAAAGATCAGCCTTTGGTTTTGGACAGCCAAAAAATAATCAGTCTCACCTCCCCCAAATGCTTAGAAGCCTCCAAGGGATTATGTTCCTGGGGAACATTTTGGCTTCTCCTGCTGTGTATCACAAATCGCCTTATCTTAATGTTACCAAGTCTGACCTGAGAGGAGACAGTGAGGACCAGGCTTATTGAAGTCTGAAAACCAGAATAGTTTCTAAAATACAGACATCTGTCTAGAGCTATAGAGTAAATAATTATATACAGGATATGCAAATATATGTTTTCCTGCTGATTGAAATGTAGTTATTCTTCTTGTACAAGCAGGAGTTTTTAAGAAAGGTAATGTGTTGCAATTTATTTTCACAGCAACAAATGCACTGTTAATTTTAGTTAAGAACTCAGTACATCTCTCGTCCATGTTTCTGTTTGAGACTATGTCCTGTAGTATGTGCTTTGGTAGCCTCATAGAGTCTGAGCTGCTGATTCCTCATAGATATGTTTGCTTATTTACCCTCTGCTGCAGACCCAGCCCTCGCCACCTCTCATTGACTTCAGTTTGCCTTCCTTTTCCCAGGGGCAGGGCACATATCAATTCACTGAGGAGGGAGGACAGGTGCTGGGAGGAGGCTGTGTGAACACGATGAAGGTAGTCAGGCTCCCTCCATCCAAATCCTCACTCCTCAGCCCCATGGGGGGCAAATTCGTGTTAGCTGCAACACCCACAATGTTACCCACAAAAAGCTAGTCTCCTCTGCCCCCTCGCCCCCCCCCCCCCCCCCCCCCCCCAATATTCCTCATTCAGACGACCAAGGAGGGGTAACTCAAGAGGGGAAGCACCTCTGTGCGGGGTTTTGGGGGATGCAGAGCTGGTAGGTGGTTGCATCCAAGAATTCCTTTTCTGTGAACAGTGCTTGAACACCTTTCAGCGGGGGTTACTCGGAGGGCAGGGTCGGGCAGCGATTCCCCCGCCCACCGCCTCCCACCCCCTCGCGGAGGGCTATTAGGGGCGGCCCTCGCTCCCTCCATAAAGCAGGTGCCGGAGCCGTTTCCTGCCGTGCCGGTCCTGGTGCCGTCCCGGCCCTGGTGCCGTCCCGTCCCGGCCATGCACTCTGCTCCCCGCCGCGGCGGCTCTCTGGAGGCGGCCCTGTGTCCGCGGGAGGCCGCCGGCCAGGTGAGTTTCGGGGGTAAGGGGAGATCTCTGGGCCCGGTTAACTGATAATTGCCCTGAGATGCTGCTCCTCTGGCATCGCTCGAGTGCTCAGTGCCGCTGCGGTTGGGATGGGGCTGATGATGCTGCCGTTTCTGGACAGATCGGGGAAAAGAAAGTGGTAGAATTCAAATGCGAGTAGATGAAATTAAGGCAGAACAAAAGTAACTTCTGGTGTATCATTGTTTAGGAGACAGAGAGTGTGATACAGCCCAGAAAAATCCACTATGGGATTATTTCATGTTACAGGGGGAATATATATAGTACATCAGACAAAAATCAGATAAATTAGATCTTACGTGTTGGGTGCAGTTACTGATACCATGCAGTTCATAAAGCCAGCAAAAGCCCTTGTGGAAACAAGAACACTGACGTACCGGAGTGAAGTTTCACAAGAGGTTGTTTAGCCATATTCCTCGGATCTTTGGAAGCCAAATAAACTGTTCAGCACAGCTTTAGGTTTGGTGTCTGAGAGCTAAATCTAAGGAGGGCCTTTGGTATGGTTGAAAAATTTCCCTGTAATGTGACATCTAGATGTTGTTACTCAAGATCATGTCTTCATCCTTCCCTACTAAGAAGTGTGTCAGAAGGACAGTGAGAAAGTAAGCAGAAAGTAAGAGAGGGAGGAGGATATAAAATGCCTGTTGAGACTTTTTATCAAGTACAATTAATGGCAATCTGTATCAAACACATTTTTAAAAATATTTTTTGGTCTTCAATTTATAGCTGTAACATAATTTCCTTTAAACAAGTATGTTTAGATAACTTTAGGTCTTGGCTATCCATTAATATAACGAATTAAAGCACAAAATATGATCAAATATTTTTATTTGATAATAAAATAATTTGAGCATATTTGATATTTGAATATCAAAAATACCCTCAAATATCTGTCTAACAGAATGTTCTCTGGGGAGGTGGAGAAAGGGAAGTTAATTGCTATGGGCTCTGAAGGAGCAATCTTTAACCAGAGGACACCTAGGTATCTATCTAAATAAGGGCTCTAGAGTATCCCTGTGTTTGTGTACTTTCATTAAGACTTGAGCCAGGTTGATGACAAATCAGTTAATGAATTGCATCATTAATAACAAGCATCAATGCTTCCTTCACCCTCCAAAAAGCTCAAATGTGTTACCCTGGAAAGGAAGAGTGTCAGAGTTGATTAGAGCTGAGTTACAGATACAGAATAAAATGACAGTGAAGGTGCAGCTGTTGAGGAGAGGAATTGGTTTTGTATTACTGTTTCCCCTTGTCTTGCACCAGAATGGTTGCTATGTTAATGCAGACTTGTTTTCAGTTTATTTTTTAATTGGAAGCACAAGCTTATTGTTGTGTAAGTCAAAGATTCAAGTGGTGTGCATTTGGTGCTGTAGGCATCTGAATTTCTCTTTTTCAAATTCCTAAATTAGGGATCATTTTTAGAACTTAATGTAAGAAGAACTTATTGAGTTCTGTTTTCTTTATTGTTCTCTTAAACATATTCATAAAAGCTGTCACCATGGTGTTAATTGAACTAGCAAAATACAAAGAAAGAACATTAGTCTACAGTGCATGTAGTTTGTCCTGGCTGTGCACCATATGACATTGCATGGCAACTATGTCAAGTCTCATAAGCTGAGCTTGTCCTAAGTCAATGATCCTGAGTGTGGAATCAAGCCAACATGCTGCATATAAGCTGTATATATATGAAATAGCCAAACAGGCTATCAACAGGCTCCATTTCTAATGGAGGCTTCTTTGCATCCAGCTGCTTCTACAGCAGTAACATCTTAATAGGATTTGGCTCATACAAATGGCAATCTCTGCACTTGAGAAAACAACCAATATCCTATAAGTAATTGTAGAGTTAATAGCTTTTTCTTTTCTGCTTGGAGCACCCTTGCTCAGTGCCAGTTCCTGGCTCTTGTGATCATGATCTGACACTCACTGAGCAAGCTGTGAGACCCACAGGCTCTTCAGCAGAAGCTGGATTGGGCTCTATTGCATACTTTCAGCAGAGAATTTTATGTCTGGAGTCAATCTGATAGAGATCAGTGGCTTTGCAGGATCAGAAACAGTGTGATGGACTGACACAGTCATCCAGGCTCATTATATAGTGACAGCTTGTTCTAGGTGGGGACCCAGTCAGAAATACAGATATTTCTAAATCAGCATCAGTAGGCTTGGAGCAAGACCTCTGCCATAGGATACCACCTTGGCACCCCAAGAGCTCACACCTAGTAACCTGCTTGAAACCTTTCTTAGAGCAGCATCAAATATCTGCCTTGTAAATCACTTGACTTAAAATCAATTTAATTGTTTTGTTAGGCAGATTACCTTCTTATGGGAGCATTTTGGTAAAATCTGTTTTTTGTTTTTAAACTTATCTATTATAGATAGAAATACTCAGTTGTTCAGCATTATTCATTTTAAGGAGGTTAAAATTGGAGAGGCTATAGAAGGGAATCAGTGGAACTGCTGCATTTTGATTGCATTTTGATTTTTGCTCTTTCCATTTTCTGAAAATGTCACCAGATAATCATATCCTGAAAAGCTGTGTCAAACCAAAAAATAATTCCAAATAGCAATAATGTACCTTCATTTTTCTTTTTCTTACTGACTCCTTCAGAAACTTCACCTTTTTTGTTTCTTTTTGCAAGGTTTGAATACTTATGAGACACAGCCTCTGCTTCTAAGCTTTGTATTTTTATTTTACTTTGCATTTTTTACATTCTTAATTGTTTCAATGTTACTTCTATTTGTGGCCTGGCTACAAGTAGCTAAGAATATGATCTGTGATACCCACTGGTTTCCACACAGTCAGGACTGTGATCACTAATAAGGTACAAAACCACAAGGTCCTATAGTGTTGGATGCCTGAAAATTTTAGTGTGTGATTTGGGTGATTTATAAGAGTTTGGTGTGTGAATTAAGGGCCGTGACAGATGGAATAGCTCACTTGTGGCTGATCTTTATAGCCAACAGATTCTGGTCAGCACAACACTAACTCCTTAGGTTTTGTCTCCTTTCTCTGTAAAATAGTGCTTTACGGTTACACAGTGGGAGAAAGGCAATGACTTTTCAATTGTGATCCACTAAATCCTGATCCAGCTTTTCCTGTCTATATTCAGTGGGTTTTGGATTTTTTGCTTTACTAATTTTCATTGCATTTGCCAACAAGTATTTTGTTCAACTTCTTATTTCTGCTGGTATCTTACAGCTCCCCCCTCAGTACCAATGCTAGTTATAAGCTATGCTTTGAAAACATTTTCTGCTTCCTAGAGGATGTCTAAAGATGTCTATAAAATCATTCAACTGAAGAAATCTCAGTATTTCAACCTCAGCTCTCACATAGTCCATGTGTGTCTAGTGTTATTGTGTAAAGATTTAATGGGTACCTTTCCTTTCGTGGTTGATCAGTCAGAGCACAATATTATCCCAAGACAAACTGAAATGTAAAACTTTACACTTTTTGCACTACTAGCCATTCAGAAAAATCTTTTTGTTTGTTTGCATTTAGTTAAATAAATCAAATTATGTGATGATTGAAGATAATAAAGAGAATGAAGACCATGCATCTGAAAGAGGAAGAACAGCCATCATTTTTTCCTTGAAGAATGAAGTTGGAGGTCTTGTGAAAGCATTAAAACTCTTTCAGGTAGGTACCACCTGCTCTGTATTATTAAATTTCAAGGATAGTTTTGGAACACATTAGAATGAATTACATCCATTTATTAAGGATGTGATTCCTATCCTGGCTCCCACTATGTACCCAAAATCACCCATGAAGGCAAATTTATGCATTGGAAATTAGATGCTGGTTGGCTAAAATCCTTCACAAAATGTACCATCTGCACTGACTAAAGACCGTTTCGTCTTTTCGCCTCATGAAAAGAGGGTTGGCACTCATTGGTTCTACTGCATATAAAAGGCAGGACTGAAGCTCCCGCTGATGGCAGGTAGACACTTGGGGTGCTGACCTGTGCTGGGGTGAGGCCAGTGCCCATGTCACCCTGCCTAGCCAGACGGAGGGTGATAGAGGAGATGCAGTGGCACAACTGCACCCCTTTGACTGCTGGGCAGGTAGGTACAAGGAATATGCACAGTGCCACAGTGCTCTGTCTTCTGGCCCTGCATGTCTTAGCCTCAGGTTTTCTCTGTGTTCCTGATATAAGACATATGATTAAATAATTTTTCAAATAAAATTTACGCCCTGAAAACTACTGCTTTTAAGTCCATTGCTTGCTTGTGAGAGAATTATATGGTGACTTGATTGGCATTTGGTGAATTTCCCCAGACCCAGTTGCTAATCAGCTTCCTATGGGAGCAATGAAAGAAAAAGGTCTATGAATTTAAACTTCCTGACTGTGTCTTTCTGTGCTTCCTGAATATAAGTGAAATTGAAAGAATACAGGTTCTCTGTCACTTTCTTCTGTATGAAAAGCTTTTTAAAATCAAACTAGCCCCCCTCCAATAAGCAAACTGCTACCAAGAGATCCAATTAACTAAAATAGCTTCACAAAGGTGGTGAGTAGTCTCTAGCAGTAGAATATTATTTTGAAAAAAACCCAAGTTTTAGTTTTCAGACAGTTATTTTTAGTTTGTTAGAAAACACTGTTTCTTGCAAAACAGGAGAAGCATGTCAATCTGGTACACATTGAGTCACGGAAGTCCAAGAGACGAAATTCTGAGTTTGAGATCTTTGTGGACTGTGACAGTAACAGTGAACAACTGAATGAGATCTTCCAGCTCCTGAAATCCCATGTCAATGTTGTCTCTATGAACCCAACAGAGCACTTCAATGTCCAGGAAGATGGTAAGTACAAAAGGCAGTTCTGATGAAAATGCACTTCTCGGTGTGTTAGTTGGAAATTTTTTTGTAGTGTCCATGACTGCATTTGTGTAGTGTTTTCAATCCGTAGGTACCAGGTTTACGCTTCTGGGTTGTGAATGAGTATAGTTTAGTTTACATGGGCAGGGTTGCATTGGCTGGTGTCGCTTAAGAATACAGGCTGTTCCAGGGTGTATTCCTAGGTGACACCTGGGTGCAAATTGTTAGCTGTGCTTCTGTCTCTTCACAGTACAGCACAGCTGGTATCACTAGGAAGTTCCTGCACCTGCACAGGCCTGCATGTAGGGACTGTACACCATGATCACAGAGGTATAATACTGGCAGATCCCAGTTCAGTTCAGACACTGGTGAGAGTGGGAGATGGATTCTGCAATTTCCTCATTTAGCTCTAGTTTGTTTGTTTTTTTTTTAAATCACTTTTCATCATAATCAGTTACTTACATTAGTGTGGAAGAGGTGCCTTTTAACTTTGGGATGCTTCATATCTTTGCCTGTGCTTCTAGTTAAAGATATGCCTAAGGTTCAGGGCAGCTGGAAGTCAGACCCATGTATTTGTCAGCCATTGTGCTTGGCACAGGCTGGTAGGTAGGGGAAAGTGAAAACTGGGGTTCTTGAGTAAAAATGGCTTACTTAGGCCCTAAGTAATTTCAATCTAAACATTCTCTTTGTCCTTTCTAAGAAAACTGAAGAGCACAGAGGAGAAAAACAGCATATTAACTGCTCTGCCTAGAGCTTGGCTAAAAACTCTTAGGCTTAAAAAAGTAAAAGTAGTCAGTAGCAAAACTGTAATGAAGTACCTCTCTAAGGCTGCAGGGCCTCCTGCTCTTCCTCTTCCCCCACAAACCCCTTAGCAAAGCCAAATGCTTCTGAGGTACATCACCATGAGCAATGTTTATTTCCCCTGGTCAGTCAAGCAGGATGGGAGGACTCAAGCTGCTACCACTCTGTTCAGGTACCACAGGCAAATCACTTTTCTGTTTCTTCGTGCACTTTGTACCCTAGAAGATTCACAACAGTGTGCACAAGGAGGCCTTGTCTCAGTAGAAGCCTCTAGATGCTACTCTAACAGTAATAACAGTTCAGGGCCGCAGAAACCCCATATTAACTGTTTCCTTTCCCTGGACGCTTTGGAGCTGGATGTGCTCTGTAGGCAGACTCTGGCAGTGACAGAGGAGGAAGTGTGAGCTGTAGGCTGGTGCCAGATAGGCAGTAGACTCCCTTGTCTTATTCATGTGCTTTTAATTTATAGATTTAGCCTGTAACCACCATAGCCATACTTGAAAGTAGCATTTCCTCCCACATTATACTTGGCGTTATTAATAACCTTGTGGATTCCATGCATTCTCTAGACATGGAGAATGTTCCCTGGTTTCCAAAGAAGATCTCAGATTTGGATAAGTGTGCAAACCGAGTGCTGATGTATGGTTCCGATTTGGATGCTGACCATCCAGTGAGTATTTTTTCTTCCCTAAAACCAATTTATAGTGAAAATGTACTTTGTAGACCTTACTTATAAAATAGCAGCTTTTCCTTCTCCCTCTCCTTCCCCTCAACGGCACCTCTGTGGGTCTCAGCACCTTCTCTTTGGGGTTTCATGGTTTTTTCTCTTAGGCCGTCACTGAATTCAGCTCCCATGCCTTTCTGCAAGGCTCGCATGTGCAAGGACTGGAGGGCTTCAAGTCTGGGCCCAGAGTAGTCACAAATAATAAATAAATAAATTAAAAAAGCCATTGTGAGGCAGGCTTGGTTCCTTCTCTTACTTTCTCACTATAATTGGAGCAAACAAACTGGGACTTGGGCAGTGCAAATGGGAACTTTGTCCTGTAATTTAGAATTATCAAGCAAGTAACATAGTTTATATAAATAGTGATGTGACTAAAATGAATTATTGTCTACTGAATATATAGTTATATATAATTCTTAATTTGAGCTGGAGTATTTGCTTAGTTCACGGTTACTAAACATTTCAGACTACAGCTATGAGGTTTTCAAGTGTCTTGTTTTAAATTAATTTATTTACTACTGCTTGGAAACTCATTTAACTTCGTTTCTCTCCTTCCCTCCACCAGGGTTTCAAAGACAATGTCTATCGTAAGAGGCGAAAGTATTTTGCAGACCTCGCTATGCACTACAAACAGTAAGCTTGACTTCTTCCACAATAAGCCTTCTGGGTGCCTTGAGATAATAGCAGAGTGGACTGTTGAGAGCTCACCTTTCCTGGGCTCAGATCTTACTGAGACATGCTTGTCTTGGGAATTGGAGTCAAGGGGGTGAAATGAAGTTAGATGTAAGACAAGATTAAAAGGTAGATCTAGGCCATCTTACAGCTCCCCAGGCCTGATCAGTCTGGGGCCACAGCCGCTTGACTGTTGCGGCATCTGCAGCAGGGCTGATACTCAGATGGGCAGCAGTGCCAATGAGGGCTTCCTGCAGTGTGGAACATTTGGATTCTGTGGTCCCTCCCCACTTCTCTGGAAATGGGTGCAACAAAGGAAGAGGGTGGACAAGGCATGATGCACAGCTGTCTGCGCCAGGATGTACTGACTTGACTAGAGCAGACTGTTCTTTACAAAAGAGAGGGAGGGGAGGCAAACCCCAGTATATAGCCCATTGACCACTGAGTGTAAACTCTCTGGAAAATGTTAATACTTTAATTTTCTTTCCTTGTTCAAACTAGTGTCTGTGATGTGCAGATAAGAAGTTTTCTGTGAAAAAAACAAACCCAAAAACTTAAAGAACTTCTGTCTTTTAGAGATGGGGGAAGGAGTTCTTAAAGCAGTAAGATTTTCATAGCCCTGTGCTATAAATTCTTTCTAAACATGATTTTCAAGTTGCTGTTGCCTTCTTGAATTAAGATGTCAAGTTGCTCAACTGGAAAATACCTAGAAATGGTGTGTATCTAGAGCTCTACTGCACTGTGTATTAACTGGTTACCACAGCACAGAGGTGGTTACCGTCAATATACTGCTAACAGAAATTTGCTTGGGCAAGCATTTGCCATACTGGTTACCTGGCTGGCAGTGGAAGCTCAGGGTAACACTCCCATGGCTTTCAGTGAGCTTTAGGTCACACCCTTGCTCTAATCCACGTTAGTCAAGATCTCATGGGCTAAATAGGAAAGATGGAGTACAATTAATATGTTCAGACAAACGCTTATCTCCTCTGCATAGTATGACTTTTACATACTGTGTAATTGTAGCTGCTTCCAAGCAATGTGTTAATTATTTAGGGAATTCTCTTTCTAAAACAAATCAAAAAGGTAATGGAAAGTAACTGCAGCCAGAGAAGTCCAACAGGGAAAAGGATGTGTTCTCAGCTTCTGAAGCTGTAAAGGCTATGCAGGTATTTTAAAGGTTAGTCTTAGTATTAAACACCTAAAAGACTATTTATAGAATCAAAGTTTTCAGGCTCCACTGAGGTCAATGTAAAGATTCCTGTCAGTTGGTTTAGGTGGGAAAGAAGGCAAGCCCTTAGACTAAAAGCCTTAAAGGGCATAGACCAGATGTCACTCTGTATTTGACGGTGTCTAATGTACCTTGACCAGGTGTTGCAGCTGTATAGATGTTAATAGTAGGTAAATGAGTCATTAGCCATTTAGCAAGGAATATAATTTCTTCCTCTTCTCCTTGTAGTGGTGACCCAATTCCCAAGATTGAATTCACCGAAGAGGAGATCAAGACCTGGGGGACTGTCTACCGAGAGCTTAACAAGCTTTACCCAACTCATGCCTGCAGAGAGTATCTTAAAAACTTACCCTTGCTCACCAAATACTGTGGGTACAGGGAAGACAATATACCCCAGCTAGAAGATGTGTCCCGCTTCCTGAAAGGTAACATGCTAATTTTCTTGCACAAAAAAGAACTAACGTCCATTGCAAATCATGCTGCTATTTCATGGGCACAAGAAAACACCCTTGGTCTCTTTTGCTTGTATTCATTCTGGTCCTTTAAGAAGCCTTTTGGCCACCTGTGTTTTAATGTATTGCATCTTGAATATATATAAATGGTGACATTTGAGGGCAATGCTACCTCTTAAGAGACTGTTATGGTTGGCTAAAGAGACACCCAGCTGTACTGCGTTTGCTCTAGGTATGAAACTGTAGGAAATCCACTGACACAGAGGTAGGGATATTTTTACTAAATGTTGGTCACTCCCAAGCTTAGGCCAGATTTTTCTAATTGTGTCTAATTTTCCCAGATGCTCTTGAGCCAAGGAAGTGGTGTAGCTTTCACCTCAGTTGTAGCAGGAAAGGTGACAACACTGCAATTCAACAGTAATGTGCAATTTCTCTGTTCCTTTTCAGAGCGCACAGGTTTCATCATCCGCCCTGTTGCTGGATATCTGTCACCCAGAGACTTCTTGGCAGGATTAGCATTCAGAGTTTTTCACTGCACTCAATATGTTAGACACAGCTCGGACCCTCTCTATACACCAGAACCGTGAGTCATTTAATCCTAGGGGAGAATTTGAGAGTGAGTTTTGAATCTTGCTGCCCAGAGCCAAGCTACTTAAAAGCCATTCAAGAAGCACCAGCAAGAAAACTTATTTTTAAGGTGCTGAAGACTCAGCCTTCACGCTGAATGTAATGAAGTTTTAGTATGCTCAAGTGCCACCTTCATAAGTACAGGATTTTCAGAAGTACAGCATGTTATTGGAGAGCTCTTAGTGATGTCATTGTGCGCAGAGTTAAATATACACTCCTTATAAATGCAGAGCTCTGGTCTTAATTTTAGATGGCTTCATTTGAAAATTCAAGTTTATGTATAGATTATGCAGAGTTAGTTTGACCTGCTGGCATGTAGGTGCTTGCTCACTCACTCTCCCCCAGTGAGATGGGGAAGAGAATTGGAAAAAAGGTAAAAACCTGTGGGTTGAGTTAGGAACAGTTTAATAATTGAAGTAAAATGTAATAATAATAACAACAATAGTAATGATAATAAGAAATCAAGAGAGAGAGGAGTAAAACTCAAAAAACGTGACACACAATACAATTGCTCATCATCTGCTGACTGATGCCCAGCCCATCCCTAAACAGAGATCAGCCCCTTCCTGCCAGATTCCCCAGTTCATATACTGGGCATGACATGTTGTGGTATGGAATACCCTTTTGGCTAGTTTGGGTCAGCTGTCCTGGCTGCCCTCCCTCCCAGCTTCACTGGCAGACCATGAAAAACTGAGAAGTCCTTGACTTAGGGTAAGTGCTACTTAGCAACAATTAAAACGCTGGTGTGTTATCTGTGTTATTGTCATACTAAAGCCAAAGCACAGCACTGTACCAGCTGCTATGAAGAAAATGCATTCTGCTGCTTTCAGCTAAATGTGATTGACACTTTTCTGTCTTTGGATATTAAATAGTTTAATGCAAGACATTGTATCTGTTCAGTGGTGCTGCTTTTTCACAGAGCCACAAAGACAGGTCATGAGACTTATTTGTTTCTTTTTCCAGTGATACCTGCCATGAGCTCCTAGGTCATGTCCCTCTTTTGGCTGAACCCAGTTTTGCTCAGTTCTCCCAGGAAATTGGTCTTGCATCACTCGGGGCATCAGACGAGGCTGTTCAAAAACTGGCAACAGTGAGTATTTGAGTGCCCTGTGATCCCATTGAAAGCTTTGTGCTTTACTAGGCTGATCCCACTCCATCAAATATGTTTGGAGCTTCATGTCAATGTTAGCCTCACCAGCTACTAGAACTATGGGTTTCACTGGTCCTCAGCTTTTAGACCATGTAACAAATTTCCATGCCAGGAAAAACAAAAAACCAAACATTTTAAGATTGCTATGACTGGTATTTTTATTCACTTGGCTGTCAAGTAAGTGTGCAACTTCTGGTGGTAGATCACTTCTTATAGGTTGAAATTCTATGGTCAGTTTCTTCCAAACAAAATCTTCTTACTGCTAGGAACATGATTCAATGATTTTAAGAGTAATTTATTTCTTTAATATGTAGAATGAATTGAAATGATACAGTGTTTTCACTGAATGTGGTGTGTGCTAGCATTAGATACTTCTCAGTCAAGAAACTGAAATAATGTAAATTCATCTAATTTCCTTATTTAGATGAAAAATAATTGATGCTGGTTATATATATTCACTGGGAGCAGAACTAAGCCATCTATGAAAACAGTGTTTTTCCTCATATACCTGCAGAAATCCAGGCAAACTAAGCTTCTTTATAGGCCACTAAGCAAAAGAGAAAGATATTGTAGTGGGCTGATGTTTTCACTTACTCAGAGATCCTTTTTATCCAGTGTTTCTTTTAAGCTGAAGCTGCCATGTCATGACCATATTTCTCAAAACAGATTTACACCTCCATGTTCCTACTGATATTAACAGCTTCTAGCTGACCAGGGTGACCTGTAATATCAATCTTTCTTATGAGAAACATGCAGTCCAATGGTTCTTCAACTTTCTATCTTCTGACTTCCCTCTGAGAACATCTGAGAAGGATAACTGAGTGATGACTGTCTGATATTTGCAACTGTTTGATACTACCTGTAAATAGAAGTGCCCCAGTCTAGTTCACCACAGCATCTCTGTTGAAAGCTGAATTGTTTTACTCCCTTCTCTGTTTCAGTGCTACTTCTTCACTGTAGAGTTTGGCTTGTGCAAGCAAGAGGGACAGCTACGAGTTTATGGGGCTGGCTTGCTTTCTTCGATTAGTGAACTCAGGGTAAGAATATCTACTGCTTACTTATCTTTTCGTTTGATTATTATTGTCACTGTTTTCTCTTTTTTTAATGAAGTATAATTCTAAAAATCATTATTTTGTAAACTCCTAGATACTTACTAGACATTAAGAAAATTCTCTGTGGCAATACTTATTGGACAGTCTGCTTTTGGATTTATGCTGAGTAGCTCCCATGTCTTTTGCAGGAAGCACTAGATGACTGGTATTTCTTAACATAAGTTTCCCAGTAACTATTTTCAGAATAAAGCTCTCCTGGTTTAAACAGATTCTGAAAATATTGCTGTTGTTTACAGATGAGCCTTGTGTCTGAGGAATCTCTTTTTTGACCCAGATTGGCAGAATATGGACCTTCAGAGATACTAATTTTTTTAAGCTTTAATCAATGTTCATCTAGAGATAAAAAGTTTAAGATGTAATGCACTAAATATGGTCTCACTTAATCTTTTTCTATTCATTGTACTTCATGTCGTCTTCCTCATGGATTCTTTGGGTGGTGATGTTCCTCTGACACATGGTAACACATGATACCAGCACTCACTCTCTGGTGGTGCCAAAGTCAAGCCTTTTGATCCAAAGGTCACCTGCAAGCAAGAATGCCTCATAACAACTTTCCAGGAGGTTTACTTTGTTTCTGAAAGTTTTGAAGAAGCAAAGGAAAAGATGAGGTACTGATTTTTTTTTTTTTTTTTTTTTTCCCCTGTTTATAAAAGCGGGTTTTGATTTTGTGCATTTCTCAGTAGCAGCACCAAACCCTTCTATTCTTATTACAGTTTTATGACTAATTTTCATGGGGTTAGAAAGCTGAGATTAGCATTTGCTTGGTCTTCCATGTACTGGGTGGGAAAGATAATGAACTATATAACAACTATTTATAAGAAAGTAAATAGTTTAGAAAAGTGATTATTGATCCTGACTGCATACAGGGGATGCATTTGTGTTTTGTTTATAACTCCCTGTATTTTTTTACTTGAATAGGGAGTTTGCAAAAACCATCAAGCGTCCATTTGGTGTGAAGTACAATCCATATACTCAAAGTGTGCAGATCCTGAAAGACACGAAAAGCATTGCCAGCGTGGTGAATGAGCTACGTCATGAGCTGGACGTTGTCAGTGATGCCCTTAGCAAGATGGGCAAGCAGCTGGAAGTTTAACATTCCTGTCAGCAGTGTGGTGCTGCACTCTTTATTTTCCCTATTGTTTTATTTTTAGGCATGTAATGGGTAGAACTCTCTCATTTACAAATGGAAGGGTGAATGGCCCATAAGGATAATAACTTTACCTTGTTTCTCTGTGTAGAGTCCCTTACAGAATGTATTCCTCCCTCCCCCTTGGATAAAAAAGGCCTGGAGTTGCCTTTGAGAAGCTGGTGGGGAGGAGAGAAATTGCTAGACTGGAAAAAAAAGTGTGGTCTGTGGATCAAGGCTAGGATCAGATGGTGCAGAAAGTAGCTTATGAGACAATAATAGAGTGATTTGCCACAGAGAAAAAGTCAGTTTCTGACTCTAGTACTATAATACTAATTTTATAGCATTGCAGGCTTTGTAGCATAGAAGCTATAGTAATCAGTGCTTCTAAGTCTGTGGTACTAAGTTTAAAACTTGAATGATTAAGACGCAGACATCAGAACACAAACAGCTGGAGGTTCACCATGATAAAATTGAGGGATTGAATCTTGCATTTAGAGGGATTGTTCTTGCCCCCAAAGAATTGCAGATGCTTCTAATGTAAGGCAGAGATACAGAGCTGTTGCATGAAATCCTAAGCCTGTTTATTTTGGGATATTTACTGTTGGCTCAGAGAGCCAGGATTTTTATTGCTGTCCTTGATATTGCACCTGAGGGAAGATCTTTCATTACAGAAATATAATTTGCCCTTTTTTTTTGATTGAATTAATTTAGCAAAAAATACCATCAGGTACTGACTTAGCACAAACTATTTCCAAATTACAATTTAATATTAAAAATAATTTCATTGATTCTAAAATAACACCAGAGTTTGAAATGACGGCCGGAGTTCATAGCCTAGTCTGCCTTTTGTAAGAATAAGTATCTTCTTGATTGCTTAGTCACTTTATTGACCTGCAGAGTCAAAGATGTGTTCCGTTTCTTCTTTAAACCAGAACACCTTCATTCCCTATCAAGCAAATGATAACTGAAAAGCCCAAGCATTTCACAGAAATTGTAAAAGCCCAAGAATTTCACAGGCATTGTGTGGCTATGAATGTAGTAACAATCTACCTTGTAGCAGAAAGTATATCTAATTCCACAGAGCACTTTACAAGTGGTGGGAAGCAGTGTCCTTCTGAATTGCCTGTATCCCATAGTAGCAAACTTCACAGTTTTTAGGGCCCCACTGTTTCAGGTGCACAAAGCTGTGAACAGCTGCACAAAGCTGTGCCAGCTACTGTTTCTGCTGATCCTGCTGATGGAAATAAGTATGTGTACAGGATATAATACCTTTGAATGGAAGACCTGTGATGTGAAGGGTGTATTAAATAGCAAGCTAAGCACTGATTCTTCATAGGCGTATCAGGAAATCCAGAATTTGCAGCTGTGAAGGTTGCTGGGAAAATGGGCTGAAATCTTGACTACGCTGTAAGTGCTAGTCCAGGATTTTGAGAACTTGAAAGGACTTTCATGAACCTCTATGCTTGGAAATCAGTTCAAGTTTTGTACGCTTTCTAGCAGGCCACATCTGTTCCATAAGCAATCACTGGTCCAAGTATATTCACTGTTTAAATCGAGTCTAGGTTACTTTTTTTCCTGTGTCTGTTAACACATGTAACTCTTAAAAAGAACAAGATGTAGAAATATGGTCTACAGCATTCATGGCTTACATTAGACTTTAAAACAGTTTATAGGAGCTTTGTCTCTACACGAGTAGTAGGAGGATCTGTTTTGTCTGCTTCTGTGGTAACAGTTAATATTCAGCTGCATTCTAAAAAACATTGGGATTGTTTTGTTGTTGAAAGACACGTAGATCTGTGTTACTTCAAATCTTTGAACAGTGTATATATTTTAAGTAGAAAACCTTATACTTGATAAATTAGCGCCTAATTTTGAATGCTTTGGAGAAAGTTATTGTATCTTTATTTGCACTTGTGTAGCAAAAAAAAAAAGGTAAACTGCTTTAAGTAATACAGAGAAGATGCATTTCTGCAACATTAACAACACCTGTGTTTGACTTCACACATCCAAACCATCTAGCAATATAGAGCAGTAATAATGTATTTTAAACTAGGGTGGAGGCTGTAAATGTCAATGAAATAAATGAGTTAATTATTATAAGCAAAACCCCCTTCAGCACTGTAGCAATAAACACAAAGCACTTCTGACCAAGGGTTTGTATGTTTTATACTGTGGTTCACAAATTCCACACGTGCCTTAATTCCATTCAGAAAGGCATAGATTTGGTTGAGGATTAATTTGTTTTCCTCTCATTTTTTAAAGCTTTAGTCTTTTTTCCCCGCTCAAACGGGTGAGCACTGAGGAAGCGTTTTCAGGCGCCGACGCCGGCGGGTGGCCCCGCCATCCGTGGGGCTCTGTCAGCGCTGGCCGGTCCAGGCGCTTGGGCTTTGGGGAGTTCTTCGTGCGGGCAGCAGCCAAAGCTGGAGCGTACTAGAGGGGTAGAGCGAGCTGGAGACCGGGGAGGCCATCAAGACGGCAGCTGTTCGCCACAGCCGGCTCTAAACGTTCCCGAGGGCTCTGAGAACCCCCCATTCCAGGCAGACCACCTCGACGGGCGCCGCCGCTCCACACAGGCCCCCGGGACGCGCTGGCCCTATGTGAGGCGGGGCCTCCCCGGAGCCCGCCCCAGTCCAGCCTCTTCCTGCCCGGCCTGCTGCGTGGCGGGAAGGGCCGGGAGCCGACGGCCCCATGGAGCCCCGGCTTTTTACGTGGGTAAGTGGGCGCTCGGCACGTTCTGCTTCGCGGCCGCTAGGTACCGACACTGAAGGGCTGCTGCTCGCTCGCCCTCCCTTGGGCTGCTGCGGGGTCGGGGCCGTGCGCGCTGCTGTTGGCCCGCGCTCGCCTCGCTTGCCGGGGCACGGGCGGTCTAAGGTCCCCCCTCCCCGAAAACAGTAAAGTGATGGTGGGTCGCCCTCGCCGCGCTTCCCGCGGCAGCTGAGAGTTGGGAGCCCCGCGGCTTGTCCGGCCGGGGCTGGGACGTGCCTCGGACTGTGCTCTGGGAGCCCGGGCGGTGCTCGCAACCTGCTGCCGCCGCTGAGGTATGAGGGACGGGTGGACGCGCGTTTGGCTTCAAGAGCGTTTGGCTCTGCGGTAAGCATGTTTGGTAGTAACCCATCAGTCTTGGAAGGGTAAATGGAGATTGGTATGCTGGCGCTGGGATAGGCGTGTGTGTCTCTCAGTTCCTCAGGCACCTGTTTTCTTTCTGCACCTTATCTCAGCTTGCCTGCTTTTGAAGACTTGAACATTCATTGTGAGTTATAGGCTGAAATGAGAGCTTGTAACATGCCATCTGAAAAGAATTATGACTGTTAAGTAGTAACATGCTCTAAAACAGTCTACCACCAGTAGTGACAGTGAGAGAACAACTTGATCTGCCTGTTGAGCTCAGATCCTGACATCTCATCCACCTGTTAACTGCGGGCTGAGGAGAGCAGCCTCATGCTTTTGTCAAAGATATCATCGTTTCTGTAGGTACAAAACATTTATTGCTAAATGTGTCTTTTCAAGATACACCAGGTGCTGCATCCCTTGGGAATCACCAGCTGGGAGCAATGTGGGTGTTGAGTTTTGCTGTTACTGTAGTGTGTGGGCTAGGAAGGTTACTGAATCCACCTTTGTGAATGAAGGTTGCTGTTAAAACTGCTGGCCACTTCACAGAGCTTAATTTGGCTAAGAATTTCCACAACACCTTACCAGGTTGTCTGTGGTGGCTTTCTATGATTTGTTTAGTGGCTATAATTTTGTACTTATAAATTTTTTATAATTGGTGTATTTTCATTTTGACCGTTTGAAAGACTTAGTTTCTGAGGGGTAGGTGTTTCTGCTTTACTTGTTTGGGCTCCAGAACAAGGTAGCATGTCTTCCTAATCATTTGGAGGTGGATTGCCAGAAAGCATTGGCATGAATAAGATTTTAGTGATGAGTGGGAATCAGGAATGTTAAACAGGTGGTAATCATCCTGGTAATGAGGCTTTCATCCTTAGTAACTGATCATCTGCAGTTGAAGGCTTACCAGGACATATTCCAATATGTTTCTTAAAATTCTGGGGTTGGAGGGGCAGCCTTAATGGCAGAAAAGTTGGGATGGTTCTGGGCGTCCTGTATGACAGCAGCAAGAAAGAAGTTTTCCATTTGGGGGGATTTTCAGGAGCAGATACTGACAGGTTACCTGGTGACATACCCCTCATTTGCTCTTAGGAGCAGATGTGTACCTTTTTTGTTAACTTTTAAAAAAAATGTGTTGTTCTTCTGTGTGCATTTGAAGGGTGCGAACAGCTATGGACAACTTGGTCTTGGTCATAAAGAGGATGTGCTGGTACCTCAGGCATTGAGAGATGTTTCCTGCAAATGTCAAGACATTAAAAGTGTTACTGGAGGAGGGGGACATTCTGCAGTTATCACTGGTAAAAACATTGCAATTGCATGGAGTGTGTGACTTCCAAACGCGTTTTTGTCTCTTTCCCTGTTGCTTTCACAAAACAAGGTTTGGTGCTTTCACCTATCTGAGCACTATTTCTGAGCAAGTAATCATTCTTAGCTGCAAAACAGGTTCCTCCTGTGCCAATTAGCTCAATGGGGAAATTCCCGTTTTGCTCATCTTGTGTGGTCATTTTATGGCTATGTGAGGACTGTTTCTTAAGCTCTTTCATATAACAGCTTTTCATACAAAGTAGCCAGTTTTTCTGTGTTGAGGATGGGAGGTGGGAGAGAGGAGTCAAGTGGGATGTTACTAAGTTTTGAGAAGTTGTAAGGTAAGGAGCACAAGATAGCATCTGGTCTTGGCAAGTTTCTGCTGTATGCCATAGCTAAGTATGGGAAAGAAAGGATACTGACAGGTATCAATGTGGTAAAAAAGCGCATCATGCATCTTAGTGAGAGGTGCCTTACTGTATGGATTGTTTTCCTTGACAAACCCAACTCTTCATAGTCATACTTATTCAGAGATGGTTCTGATGCATCAGAAGTAACTGCTTCTTTTTGCATGATTGCAGTGCCTAAAATGACACATAATCACTGGCATTATTTATGACAGGATATCATGGATGTACACTTGTATTTTTAGTTTGTGCAGTGGAACATGAATTTAATTTATTTATGTATTTTTATTTTCAGGTGCGGGAGAGCTCTTTGTATGTGGCCATAACAAAGATGGGCAGTTGGGATTGAATCACAAAGAAAATGTACTACGGTTTACTTTGTGCACTGCCCTGACTGGATTTTGTGTAAAACAAGTTGCCTGTGGCTGGGATTTCACAATCATGTTAGTAGGTAAATCTGACTTTCTAAGAGCTGAAGAAACATCTTCATGTAGAGAGCACACTGAAAGTTCCACATTGCTGTTGCTTGTGTGACCCACTAGCACTCACATGTTTTGCCTTGCAAACAGAGCTACTCCATCCATGTTCCTTGTATCCCAGTGAACTTCAGACCTTTGCTGAACATGGTGTGTAAGACCAGAAGTCTATGGGGCTTTGGAATGGGACATGTTAAGTACTTTTTCTGAGTTACTTGACTGAGATATTTTGCTTGTTGTAATGTTGGAGTGCTTAGCTTTTGCTCTCAGCTTTACTGATTTGGCCCTAACACTTCATTTACAGGATCTGGTCTAGTTCTGTCCTGTGGATCTAACTCTTTTGGACAGTTGGGAGTTCCTCAAATTTCAGGTCCCTGCTTGATTCCACAAAAGATTGAGGTAAAGATTTGAAAGGAATTGTGCTTCAGAGCTCTGTACTTTATATTGCTTCCAGCAACCTACAAAGGCCATCTGATGTCAGTGGGCTTTAAGATAGACTCTTCAACTATTTTTTATAAAGCCTATCTGTTACAATAAATTTAAAAAAAAGACCAAAGGTGATCATTGATCCAGAAGTGACCTTTTCTTATTGCCAGAAATGGCTTATAAGCCAGAAATGGCTTTTCTTATTGTATGAAGTTACCTACTTCTAATAAAGTTGTCTTTTTCACTAGGGATTCTAATGTTTCATAATGTATTTTGATAACATCTGCAGAATTAATCTGATGCTCAGGTGATGTAAAGTGATACTACAGGTAGTGAAACTGCAAATTTTCTCTAACTTTTGTCTCAAGTTTGTAAGATACTAGATATGTTTTGCTACTTAAAGGGTATGTACCTTCACTGTACCTTGTTGGAGTTCTATGCTCAGTAGTTCAAAGCAAAACAGTAATCCACCCTGAAAAAAAACCAGCTTGTACTGTGGAGTTCAGCAGAGTTAGCTATGCCAATTCTTTTATCTATTGCTTTTGTGCTTCTTGTGCAGCAGTTCTGTTAAGTATGTGTTTGGTTTATTGAGTGCATTTATAACTATCAGAGTTTCTTCCCCCAAAATGAGGACTGTAGTATTATTTCTTGGCTATAAAAAGCTGTTAGATTAAAAATAAGCTTGGTCACCCCCAAAATAATAATAATGTGTATGTAGCTGCCGGAAAACTAGACTTAAGAGAATAAACATTAATTTTATCACTTTTGAGATTAAAATGATGTTTAGTTTACATATAAAGGAATTGACAAGTACATTGACTTGCTTCTTAGCTGACTTCCATTATTTACCGAACAATATCAGCTTCCAAGGAAATAGAATGGGCAAAGTAGATGCTAATTTCTCCATTGTTCAGTACCTTCAGTTGTAAATTCTGAAGATTGGACTCTGACTCATGTTT